CACAACCAGAGGCGGGAGGCAATACAAATACGGTCCACCTCTCAAGCCTCTAGAGAAGTTACCGTACGAGAGGACCGAGGAGGAAAACGGTACGATCGTGCAGACCCATGTGAAGGAGTTCTTTGAAGGGGTGAAAGCAAAGAGACATCCACCTCCGGAGGAGAAGGTAGATCCGGTGAAAGCAAAGCGCACTATCGATGCCCTGAGGAAACCACCAAAGTCTCCACCGAGAACCAACTATGAGCGCATTACTGAACAGACATATCTCCAAGCCCAGCGGTCGGGAACTACTGTCAGTGATAAAAGGTTAAAAGAATGAGCAAAGGGGAAAAAATTGCCCAGCTCGGCGAACAAGCACAGCAATCGTGTCCCCCGCTCAATGTGTCTAATGCTCCGGGGACGGTGGTCGGTTATGGCAATCTTGAAGATTACCTGCATGATGATGCACTTCCTGATTTCATGGAGGTGGACGAACACAGATACGAGTACGGGAAGCCTCTTGTCAAAGATGAAAAATCTATGACAACAATGATGCGAAGATTCCATAGTTGGTACATGAAAACCTGCAGAGAGTCTGAGGGGACGAATAGTTTGTATCTGAACATTAAAGAGGAGCACGACCTCGTTTCAAATGATCTGTTGTGTCTTCCATTTGATGAGTTCTTCGCGTTCTTCAATCAAAAGGCCCTCGGTAAATTAATGGTCTTTTGCTACTGTAAGTACTATTTCTGTCATTAAGTCTCTATATATAGCTCGGCTCTTTCATTGCATGTATTTATAATTAATTGTCCTCAATATATTATGCAGACTGAAGATCGTCGAGTGCAAAAAACAAGAAATTTATGATATTGGGTTCATTAACACAAATATCATAGATGAATTTCTGGTTGAAAAGGACGTCAAAGAGGCCGAGGACAACTTGCTACAATCGTTGATGAAAAATCAAAACAAATATACCACACTCTTTCCTTACAACGGCAAGTGAGTATTACTGTCGTGTGCATATTCGGTTTCCCTTATTACTCGAGCGAGGTTATAGTAATGTAATTGATGAGTTATGCATGCGTGCGCAGGTACCACTATATTCTTCTGGAGATTAAGCTTGAGCGTGGACTAGTAACCGTCTTAGACTCGAGACGGAAAGATCCCAAAACCTATGCGGACATGACTAAAATGCTCAGCAAGTAAGTTCAATCGATCATTATCGCACCATATCGGCAACTTTTTGTTCATTTCGTGATATCTCAAGTAATAATAATTATTTTCTTTGTCTTGCAGGGTTTGGAAACAGTTCACCGCAGAAGCTCCGGGATTGCCGAAGGAGCTGCGATATACATACCCGAAAGTAAGTACTACTGGCTAGCTAGTTGCGCGCATCTCCCGTTGATTCTATAGCTATACTTTCATCAATGCCATTTATAATGCTTCATTATCAGTTTGATTGACCTCTATTTCTCGTAAAGTGCTTGTGGCAGGAGGAAGGGAATGATTTGTGTGGATACTACGTGTGCGAGTTCATCCACACCGTGACTTCGGAAAACAAGCGGGGCTACTCTAAAAGACAATATGAAGTGCATAAGCAATAATATTCACAATTTCATTTTATTACACCATCATTTCTGTTGAGTTTCATTCATATATATGTATTAATTAACCCCCTTCAAATTAGACGTGGCAGATGCGGAATGAACTCCTAGAACCAGATTGCATGAAAGCAATTCAAGAGGAATTGGCGGGATTCTTTCTTGACCACGTCATCAGTAAAGCCGGAGAATACCATGTGGAAATTGATTTCAATTGCTAGGGGTTTGTAATTAAGAGATCTTATACATATTGTACATGTATGTAGCCAGGAGCGTCGGATACATGATACAAAAACTTGTTGTTCGACCAATCTCTCGGAGAAGGAGAGGTCGATCGATCACTTCTCTCGGTATGCATGACGAACTTTTATACTGAATGGTTCTCTCGATCACTTATGTATATATAGTACGTAGCGTCGACCAAGCACGAACATAAGAGAGGACACTTCTCTCTATTAATTAGCTAGCTAACACAATATATGAAACACCTAAATTAACCCCCCAAAATCCCCAACCCCCCTCCTTTAAAAAAAATAAAACCCCCAGCCACTGGAATGCTAACGCATGGATGCTTTTTAGTCCCGGTTGGAGCCACCAACCGGGACCAAAGGCCCCCTGACTGGGCTCAGCGCACAGGCCCACGTGGAGGCACATTGGTCCCGGTTCGTGTTTGAACCGGGACTAATGGGTGGAGGTATTAGTAACGACCCATTAGTACCGGTTCATGAACCGGGACTAAAGGCCCTTACAAACTAGGTCTATTAGGTGTTTTTCTACTAGTGTCATACTCCCCTTCTTTTGGACTCCCTTACTACTGGTTTGCCATAAAACCTCAACGCCACTAGTACTTACATTAGTAGTGGTGTGTGTTTAGGATGCACATACTAGTAACTGTTTGAGGTTAGCTTCTTGGTCCCACTTACTAGTGGTGTGCCCTTTGGCTGGCCCGCAACTAGTGGCTTCTTAGGCTGGTCACAATGGGCAAGAATATAAGCTAGTAACTTACACACTTCCCTAGACTATGTTACTACCTCCATAGTGGGTAGGAACATCTAGGTTATTAGGTTATAGACTCATTATTTCTTGGAGTGTGTGATGTTCTGGTAACTTAGCTAGTTACCACAAGCACCTCTCTCTTCATTAAATACATGCCACATAAGCAAAGTTGTATTGGAGTGTGTGATGTTACTCCTAATTTCCTCCCCACTGTGACCAGCCTTAGTGACGTGTGGCATGTCTTTCACACTACTAATAGCTATGAGCAATAAATGTGCTTAGCTCGTACATATGTGAGCCTCCCTCCCCTCCTTCCGCCTTTCCCCTTGTTCCTTTCTTAAACTCTTCACACATTTTTGCACATTTATATATCTATCCAACTAATTAAGCCCTATATCTAGCTAGATATAGCTACTCTCTCTCCTCCACCCTCTCTCATACATTAAATTAACTCTCTCTCTATCCCCTCCATTAGTCCTTAGGTTGCTCGCAGTAGAAAGTATCATCTGCTAGTATCATGCATATGATACTAGCGTATGATACCACCTTCATAGTGCATAGTATCGTACGTTGATATCATAGATGACCTTATTTATTGTCATGCAAAATACATAGTAGTACATCATTTAATACGATACTATATCATATCATCATACCCAATCATCTATTTCCTCGTTTAATTATGTGCCATCTCAACAAAAATATCTACTTGGCATGTATGATACTTTCATTGTGAGTTTGTGACCAGCCTTGGTCTTGGTTGGCGGCGATCCTTTATCGAACGTCATGTTAAGAAGATAATGCGTGGTAATTTTCCGATGATAATCATGGCCTTAGCGGGACACTGATAGCTCGTAGTGTAGTATCTTGGGTGCCTAAACTTGCCACTAACGGACACTCGCGATGGAACCGTGGGATTTAGGTGGTGGCATCTTCTCTCCCTCTGCGATTAATGGCTTCGTGGCTGGCTATTCCGTGTGTGTATGGTTTTCAGCTCGCGTTGTTGTTATGTCTGGACCATATGCGCTTACATCATTTTCGGTGATTGCAACCGCTTGACGAAGATCAATGTTGCTTTTTTTGTGTTTCCTTTTTTGGTTTTATCTGCCTAGGCATAGCGTTGATCTTTCATGGCTTTGCTACTTGCCGCCGTGTGTTTTCTATCTCCTTCATTATGAGTTAATAAAAATGCCCTTTTTCAACAATTAATTATCCCGTCCACAATCACACAAATTATGGCGTTGACCTGAAACTATGATAAGTAGCTTGTTAACAAATTTGCAGCAAAAGAGAAGTACTAATATTTTTCTCAGCAAGATTTATACGCCCGGTTGGATCAAATGGATTCTGATCACTCATTCTTGATGCACAGGTGCAAGCATGAGGCATACGATAAGGGATGGAGTTCGCGGAAAGGCCTTCAGTCCTCGCAACGCGCCTCATAGAGACCGAGTTGCCCACTCATTGCCACCTGATAAGAGAGAGATTTTTGATTCGCTTAACAGTTGGGCAGAGGACAACATTCTGGTCCTCTTGAAGCCGGTTGAAAGATCCTGGCAGCCACAGGACTACCTGCCAGACCTTCCTTGGATAGATTTTATGACGAAGTCAAGGAGCTGAGGGAGCGAGCCGAGGAGATCCCGGACGACTACTTGGTATGTCTGGTTGGAGGCATGGTCACTGAGGAAGCACTCCCTACCTATCAGAAAATGCTCAATATCCTTGATGGCGGTATCCGCAACGAGACTGGCAGCAGCCCAACCAGCTGGGCTGTCTGGACGAGGGCATGGACGGCCCAGGAGAACCGACACGGTGATCTCATGAACAAGTACACTTATCTCACTGGGAGGGCTGATATGAGGCAGGTGGCGAAGACCATACAGTATTTGGTTGGTGCTGGAATGGTAAGCACCTGTATCTGACTGTGTCATCCTTCTTTGTCACAGCTTCCATTCTTGTTGGTTGATTGTTTTATTGCTCACCAAAAATGGGAAGGGAATAAAAATTTGTCATTGTCAAAATGATATTACTTCGTTCATCCCATGCCATTTTTTTTTGCTAACTTTTCGCAAATATATTTGAGAATGGCAACCTTCAGCAGCATACACATATGTTCGCTACTTAAGACTTAAGAGTACGCCAGTTTGTTGTCACTACCCTGTGTTGTTCCTACTTGTAGGATCCAAAAACCGAGGCCAACCCCTATGAGTTTTTCATTTACACGTCTTTCCAAGAGAGGGTAACCTTCATATCTCACGGCAACACAGCAATGCACGCCAGGAAGTACGGGGCCTTAAGCTGGCCCAGATATGCGGCACCATCGCAGCCGATGAAAGGCGCCATGAGCTTGCTTATACCAAGATAGTGGAGAAGCTCTTCGAGGTCGATCCCGACTACACGGTCCTGGCCTTCGCCAGCATTATGAAGACGAAGATCACGATGCCCGCCCACTTGATGTATGATGGGCAGGAGGAAAACCTGTTTGAGCACTTCAGCGCGGTAGCACAGCGGCTGGGTGTCTACACCGCCTTGGACGACATCCTCGAGTTCCTGGTCAAGAGGTGGAACATCGCCGGCCTCACTGGCTTGTCCGGGGAAGGGCGGCGCGCTCAGGATTACCTCTGTTCCCTAGGACCAAGGTTTAGGAAGCTGGTGGAGCGAGCTCAGGGGAGCGGGAAGCAGTTGCCGGTTGTTCCTTTCAGCTGGATCTATGGCCGGCAAGTGCAGCTTTGAGTAAGATTTCAAGGCACGAGTATATAGTATATACCATTCTCTTTTTTTTCTACTTCTCTTCAAAATCTGTAATAATTGTTGAGTAATGTAAAGTTGTAAACACATCTACACTGCATACGCCAAATAAGCTTAAAATGACATGACTATACGAACACATCCTTATATGCATTCTTTTTATTTTGTTCTCCTTGAGCTCCTTGATAGTTTTCCGCAGCTCAAGCAGCCATCAATGTTGCATTCACCGTTCTTTTCGTTGGTGAAGATGAAGTAGGTCAGGCACCTCACCCCTACTTGAGCGTGAGGTCTCTGCTCTACTTCATCTTCCCCAACGTCAAAATGCCCTTGTTATTCCGAATTTGCAATCGATATCGTCTCGAACGATATGAGTGCAATCCTGTATATAGACAAATCTTAGAGGTTAAAAGGGAGATATGTACAAGACAATTACGGTGGTTATTACAAAATAAGGCAAGACTATTCTCTGTATGCATTGGCAGTAGGTGAACCTTTTTTTTGCGGGAGGACAGCAGGTGAGCTTGAGAATGCTTTGCGATGCACTTTTTTTTGAGCATCAGTACAGACATAAGCGCTCATATACACGCGCATACACTCATCCCTATGATGTAAAAAAAACGGGAACGTCTCCTCCCACTGAAAGCGCATCGCCCGAAATCCTAAAATAAATCCAGAAATAATGCGAGCACCAGGATTTCCTCCCACTGAAAGCGCATCGCTGGAAATCCTAAAATAAATCCAGAAATAATGCAAGCACCAGGATTTGAACCCTGGTGGGTTGGGGATACCACTGTCCACCTAACCAACTCAACCACAGGTTGGTATATGCTTTGCGATGCACTTTTACATTCATGATTCATACCCATGCCAAACCGTTGACTTAACTAAATTATGATCCTAGAAATCAATCTTAAACTCTTGCGTAGAATACTACTTCCTCCGTCCCATAAAAATGCAGCGGGTGAGGCTGAGTGGATTAGGGTTGGATTTCGTTGTTTTATAGGTAGTAATAAGATTAAGAGGTGGCGGCTGCTCTTTTGAGCCCGACCCATTTACTATTTCTGTTATCCTTTTTTTTCTACTTTTCTCTGGGACCAAAAACTTGAATATCCTATCGGTCTATATGCCATGTGGTTGCATTCAACTAAAAAAAATGCGTGCTTAGATGGTTAGAAGGACAATAGTATCTCAATCGAACAAGATTCAAGTTCTACACTTGACACGAGTGCTCATATTTTTCTGGTTTTATTACAACCTTCCGGCGATGTGCGTTTATTGGGAGGAGACATTCCCATCAACTATGAGGGTGTCTAAGGCAACTTCGTCAATCTCAAGATAATGTCTTGTCTTAGTTTCTCAGAGGTGCTCATAGGGTGCACGTGTGTGCGTTCATAGGAGTGAGTGTATGCTCATATGTATGAGTGTATGCGTCTGTACTGTGTTAAAAAATTGAGTTGGATCTAAAAAAAGATGGTTTATATTTAGAAATACATGAACTTGTTTCTATTTATATTTACTTTCTTTGCAACACAAATTAAGGAACCATGTACTGTTTATATTTACTTGGATCCCGCGATACTTACCAAAAAGGCTTCAAACTTCTTTTTATGTAACATACTAGTACACTATTTTGTTCCCGTGTAAATTTGAGCATTTTTTCAACTTCATTTTCTATTATTTAGCCATCAAATGAACTTTTGGTTATTTGTTGAACATATTACAAATTTGAACTACAAGTATAATAAACAAATGTCTAACGTTTTGAATAAAAACGCATTTAAGTTCTTAAGTACTCCCTCAGTAAAGAAATATATGATCGTTTATAGATCACTAAAACGATCTTATATTTCTTTACAGAGGGAGTATTTTGGTAGATGTTGTCCAAGAAATGAATAAAAATTCAAATATTTAGTTTGGAAAATTCACACACTTACATGTATTTATTTATTTGCTTTGATTTCTAAAAATATTAATAAACTCTGAAAAATATGAATTTTTTACATGATGTCATGATATGACCTCAAGAGTTTGTGTTGAAGTTTCAAACAATTTCACTAAAGGGCTATACATTGCTCTGTAAGTGGAGCATCTCCGAGAAATCATCGTATCATTGGAAGGGAAACTATGATGATTGAAGTAAACCTCAAACTTTATTCATCATTTGAAGTGAAAATCGTACTACCTCCGTCCTGGTTTATAGGTCCCCTTTGTAGTTTGTGTCAAATTTTGACTAAGATTTAACTAACAAAATGTTAATGCATGTCAAGAAAAATTGTCTCATTGGATTCGTATTTGAACATAGTTTTGAAAAATATAATATTTGGTGACATGCGTGAACATTTTGTTAGTTTAATCTATGGTCAAAATTTGGCATGAAATATAATTTGGACCAATAAACCCGGACGGAGGTAGTACCGTAGCTTGTGGAAGGGGAAACAAAGTCCGATTGGCCATTGCTTGTGGACTGGGCGGACGTGCAGGCGTTCCGTTCCTGGACCCCCTCTCGGATGGGAGGTAATCTGCGCCGGCGCACCGGCCCAATTGTTGGGCCGGTCAGCCCGCAGCCGTCTGATTTGTTTGCTGGGAACCGTCCGATGCACTTCGTCTCCGTTAAAGTAACACCCGTACGACAAAAATCCATTGCATCGATCTCATTGTCCCTTCCGTTCTCTCCGGCCGCACGCGTTCTCCCGTCGGCGCCCTTCGCCTGGGTCCTCATCTCTGGTCGCTGTCCTCGCCGGTCGTCCTCGCCGGTCGTCCTAGTCGCCGGTCCCAGCCCCTCCTGGGTCGTCCTCGTCACCGGCTTCGCCCATACAACAGCCGCACCCTGCGATTGCAGCTCCTGTGGCGACCGTTGTAGCTCCGATGGCGACGACTGCAGCTCGCCGGCGTACTCACCGCCGCTCATCCCTGACGCTTGCAACATCTCGCTTGCCCCTGTCGAGAGATGACCAGTGCTGCAACCGAAAACCAAAAAGCTACAAACGGTAATGAAAAATGCTTCAACCGGCGATGAAAAAAGTTTCAACCCATATACGACGAAAGCTATGGACGACCACCAAAAGTTGCAACCGGTTGATAAAAGAGCTTCATCTGGCGACAAGAAAAGCTTCATACGTAGACGAAAAAAGTTTCAACCGTAGAGATGAACACCATGGGAGACAACGAAAAGCTGCAACTGGCAGTTACAAAAGCTATATCCGGCATTGAAAAAAGCTTCAAACTTTGTGTCTTAGCTGCGACCCGCGATGACGATGACGATGTTTTGCTGCAACCATAGTTGACTTTTGCTACAAAAGGCGATGGAATTTGCTACAAACCATTTTCATGGCTGCCATGATGCTACAAGTGCGCCGACGAGCCCGGCGAGGTTGATGGGGGTGGGATGTTGTGAATCACAGACGGCGAATTCTGTTTGCAGGCGATGAGCGGCACGGTGTTGCAATCGGGACGGGGGGAGAGTTGTGACCAAACAGGTCAGGGCTACAATGGCGGCGGTGGCAAGCTACAACCTCGGGAAGGAGGCAGGATGTTGCACGGCGAGGCGCGGCCATGTCGTCGTATTGGAACGGCGGGGTGCGACATGGCGTTCTGCGCGCGGGGATACGCGCGCGCGAGCCACTAACGGGCACAGCAGTTGGCGGCTCAAGGTCCTGGCATGCTTCTTCTGTGTTTGGACCAAGGAAGGAGATGAAGGAAGGAGACGAGAGAAGAGGATGAATCAGTGGAGAAAAAAACGGTTCGAAAGGAGCGCTCCCGTCGCCACGATCGTGAGCGATCGCAAGGCCCATGCGACCGGTGTAACGTTTCGGCCGGCGCACCGGATAGAAACGTTTCCCCTCTCGGATTCAGACTCAACCTAGCTAGCTCTGTTTTATAGCGATGATTAGTACGTACTAGCACTTCGTTGTACGTACTAGACTACTACACACGAGCCCGGCGATCGAGCCAGAGATCGATCAAGTATGGACGATCGACCTATGGCGTCTTCGGCTCCGCGTTGGTCGGAGACCCCGGAAGACATCCTCGGCCTCGTCATCGACCGCCTTGGCTCCGGCGCCCCAGCTGACCACCACTGGACACGCCGCCTCTCTGTCTCCGCGGTGTGGTCTCAGATCCTAGTTCTACGGCGTGCCCTCTCTTTCGCCGATGACTGCGGTACCTTCCAGGCGGTGTGCCGTGCCCGGCAGTCGTCGGTCTCTGCCGACCGCGCCCGCTTCCGCGCGGTGGTGCCGTTCGTGGCACCTGGCCATGCGCAGCCACGTCACGGCACCACGGCTGCTGCCGTGGATTGTCTTGTCAGATGGTTCCTTCTCTGTACCCTCCGACGACGGTGGCTGCCGCTGCTCGCGCTGCCATATCCCTACTTTGCCCAAGAACGCAAGATGCATCGGCTCCACAGACGACTGGCTTACCCTCGACTGCACCAACATTGAGAACGTACATAGATACTTCTTGCACAACCCTTTCCCCGACACGACTGTGCCGCTCCCGGAGCTAAGCGCCATCATCGGTGTCGTCTCCAAACTTTTCGAGGTCCGCAAGGTGCTCATGCGGTCGGGCCCTCATGATGTCGTCGCTTTCCTGACCAATAACTGCAACTACCCCCTCATCTTGGTCCGGCCGGGGAAGGGTGTGTGGCTGCCCGAGCCGCAATCCGCTCCCTTCATCTACATCATCGACATTGCTTTTGTTGGGGATAAACTCTACGGGATCACTCAGGCCAAGGACCTCGCCTCTCTCAGTATCAACTTTGATGATGATGGTGTGCCTGGCATCTCTGGTATCAAGCGACTCATCGGGCACCCAACCATGCGCAGTTACCATTTCTGTGTATGGAAGGATGACGAGAATCAGGAAGACAATTTTGAGGCCTCAAACAATGGGGGTGATAAGCACGGGGTCCATAAGGATTATAAGTACGATGATGAGACAATGACTGAAGAGGAATACGAGAAGGATTGCGCCTTAGATGAACTTAGGGAGAGAACTGGCGACGACATGATTCTCGAGGGTACGACCTATCTGAGATACTATGATGCCCCAGATGATTTTGTTTCCGTCATTTGCCACTTGGTCGAGTCTCGCGGGAAGTTACTCATGGTGAGAAGACAACTACAGTGGCCCTTGCACAACATCAAATTCACTCGCAAGGTGGAGGTTTTTGAAGCGAATGCCGGCAAAGGAGTCTGGATGCCGCTTACCGATGGCCTAGGTGATCAAGCGCTTTTCATTAGCAGACCCTTCTGCAAGTCTATTTGTGCCTATGGAGATGTGGAACGTGATACTATCTATTTTATCGACACGGGCGAGATGTTCAATATGAAATCCCAAACTATGAGCCCATCAAATAGGAACATTAACCACCGACAGTCAATGTGGATGTTTTCTGCGGATCTTGTGGTTTAATGATTTCATTTACCAAAATAGGGGTTTGTTAGACATGTTAGAGATTCAAATAGATATTTTCCTTAATAGGTGGCTTGATGGTCTTTTTTGAAAAACGGTGGCTTGATAGTTAGTACATCTTTTGGTCCTAAATGTAAGATAAGATGTTTTGACAGTTTTAAATTGAACCACCAAAATGTCTTACATTTAAAAACAGAGATAGTATACAACAATCTTGTAAGTTGGCTTGATAGTTTAATTAGTTAGACGTGCTATACCTATACCCCTGCGCTCGCACTCCTCTGCTCCCCGAACAATGCTACAATTACGGACTAATTTACGGACTTGAGGCTACGGAAAGAGCTGGAATCAGTTGGTTGGTGCCTTGGTGGGGACATGGCCCCAGATCATGTCCGCCTGTACGATTGTTTCCGTAAGCCACGTCCGTAGATGCATCATTTTCGGCTGCTCCCCTCCCCTCCATGGTGCGCACAGTTTTTACTTAAATTTATTTATTGGTACTAGAGTGCTAGTACTACCTCCGTCCTGATTTATTGCTTGAATAATCATGAAGGGGAGGGGAGCAGCCGAAAATTATCATGATCAATAATTACATAGTTTGGGATTGAAAAAATCTGGAAAAAGTATATACTCCCCTCCCCTCCATGGTGCGCACAGTTTTTACTTAAATTTATTTATTGGTACTAGAGTGCTAGTACTACCTCCGTCCTGATTTATTGCTTGAATGATCATGAAGGGGAGGGGAGCAGCCGAAAATTATCATGATCAATAATTACATAGTTTGGGATTGAAAAAAATCTGGAAAAAGTATATACTCCCCTCCCCTCCATGGTGCGCACAGTTTTTACTTAAATTTATTTATTGGTACTAGAGTGCTAGTACT